AAAAGGGAACACTGGAGAAAACAGATCGAGAATGCCATCACGGACACCCAGGTATTCAAGATAATGCAATGGGCTAAACCCAAGCCATGTCGAGAACCTCCTCCTCTGAAGGCCGCGGAGGACAAATGGTTATCAGACCCACTCGAGAGGGCAGAAACCCTGAGGGACATCTTGATAACTAGATTCAACGCAGCCCACGATCTCTCCACATGGGAGACGGGACAACCAGAGACTATTCCGTGGAACCCAATATTGTCGACAGAGGATGTAAAATCGAGCACCATTGGAACAGGCGACAAGTCTCCAGGAGCGGACAGAATCACGGTTCGGCTGCTTAAGGCGTGCTGGGAGCAAATTGGCGAACAAGTGAAGAACCTCTTTCAAGCTTGTTTACAGCTTGGACATTTCCCCACTATGTTTCGAGTTGCAGAGGTCATCCTCCTCCCTAAGCCAGGACGGGACCTCGCAACAGCTAAAGGTTGGCGACCAATCTCTCTTCTATCCTGTCTTGGGAAAGGTTTGGAACGACTTGTAGCCAAGAAAATGGCCTGGCTAGCAATCGAGCACCGAGTCGTTCCTCAACAGCTGTTTGGTGCACTGCCTGGTCGCTCAGCAGTTGACTTGGTCTCCTGCGTCATACACGATGCAGAGGCGGCAATGCGATACAAGAAGGTAACGGCCATGGTTACTCTGGACGTACAAGGTGTTGTAATTCTAACAGTCCTGCATCTGTTACACTAGTCATGTACTATCTCGTTTTCGTTTCCGTTATTCGTATCATTTAATACTGCGCCACATCTATTTTCTGTAATATTAATTAGTCTTGGCGCTTAACACAAGATATGTTGGAAATTATGGTATATGCATGATTCTGTCTTACACTCAGCTAGCTTGGGGGTCTACTGGTGGTCAAGACATACCATCACCATGATAATGTCGCCATGCTGGGACATGGGCGCATATCCCGGCTTATTTCTAAATTCGTCTCAGTAGGACTAATTCCTGTATATATATGTAGTGTTCTTCTCCTTCAGAAATCCTCAGTTCATTACATTTACTGAATATCTCTGAAGGTCTATTCGTACCCTCTTCGTGTCACCCTACCAAGCTTCACCCTTAAGCTCTATTCAACTGCTTCGTTGTTCGGCATATATCCTTCACCTCCCTAAACCATTCCAGCATTCCTCTACGATCCATAACCTCACAATACAAGGAGCATTCGACGCGGTCCTGCACAAATGGCTCATCCATCGATTGCGGAATCAGGGATGGCCAAGGATACTTTGCCTGTGGATAGAATCATTTCTAACCCAACGAAGGATAAGGGTGCGACACCGTGATGGAACCACGCGGGACAAAGTTGCAGAGTGCGGAGTCCCACAAGGGTCGCCGCTATCACCCCTTCTGTTTTTATTATACATCGAAATTTTGATGCAAGACGGAAACAAGAGCACAAAATTCGGTTACGCTGACGACATCGCTATACTCAGCATAGGGAGCACCGCGTCTGAAGCAGTGGCCGAAGCCCAGAAAGAAGTCGACAAACTCGTCCAATTAGCGAGCGAAAACCAGATAGACTTTGACCCGGCAAAGTCTGAACTACTGTTAATTGGAGGTGGGCCAAGGAAAAAGCTGAACACCACGGGTCTAGCTGTCCATATCCAAGGCCACTGCATAGCCCCGTCCCCGTACGTGAGATGGCTGGGAGTATGGCTAGATTCTCAACTCAACTTCAAGCAACACGTTCAGGAATGGTGCGGGAAGGCGCAACGTATAACACAGTCTATACGACGGATAAATTCGGTCCAGCATGGCGCAGCTCCGGGACCGATGATTAAACAGTGCAGTCCTGTGTCCTAAGTACGGCACTATATGGAGCCGAAGCGTGATGGCCAGGTCTCACCCGAATCACAACCCAGCGGGACAAAATGGTTGGCACAGGAGTAGGCTGGCACACTGACCTCCTCGACAACACTATCTTGAAGTCAGTTCGAGCTGCGCTACCGGTGTGGCGAACTACACCAAAAACGGCGCTACACAGAGAGTCGGGTATTCCCCCATCTGCTATTACCTTACAGCAGAGAAAAATTCTAGCTGCCGCACGGATTCAAAGGCTGGACGCGTGGCATCCTTTAGCATTCAGGTCTACAGAGGAGCCAAAAGATACAGTAAGCCGCCTAGGTCTCCGCATAGGTCAGAGGAACCGGCCATTCAAGTGCCCAGAAAGGTACCTCACGCGACTTCAGATCAGCGCCAAAAATATGCCGATGGCCGAGGGCCCCGGCAAACTGTATTTCCCAAAAGCTGAGCCCATCAGACAGCTCACTGACGGTGACAAGCAGCAAGAAGCAGCTCACGCTAAGCAATGGATAGCAAGCCTGTCGGATGAGACAGTTTGCGCTTACTCAGACGGCTCATCATGTGGACCTGCTAGATCGGCGTGGGGATACATCTTATACAAAGGAGGCCAGATGATTGGGAGTGATGCCGGTCCTCTGCCAGGGGCGGAGGTGTACGATGCCGAAATTTTTGGCGCCCAAAAAGCCCTCGAAGGTGCGATAGGAAAAGCGGGCAGCTCTCCGATAAAAGTGCTCCTCGATAACTCCATAGCCGCAAGAGCTCTTCAAACCGGTCGAACGAAATCTTCTCAGGCGGTGGTAGACATATTCACAAGACTGGTACGACGAGCCAGATCAGTTGAAATCAGGTGGACACCAGCCCAGTCAGGGATCACTGGAAACGAGGAGGCAGACAGACTGGCGAAGGAAGCCCTCAGGAAACTCCCGGCTGAAACGACTACAGCTCCCTCAACAATTAAGGACGGACTCAAATACACCTTCGCAGCCCTCAGCCGGTTTGTCAGGCAAAGGTGTGAAGAAGCGGTGGAATCCTGGTGGCTAAAACATAGACCTAGCCGCTATGAGGGGTTGGATCTCCGAATGAAACGAAAACGTCCACCAGAGCTAGCACTTCCGAGGTGGGCGCATCACCACTTGGTCGCAGCGAGGACGGGACATGGTGATTTTAGGAACTACCATGAAAGGTTCGGCCACGAATGGGAAAACTGCAAATGCGTTTGCGGAAGAGAGAAACGTCCCTGGCATTTTACCGAATGTCGGATTGCTCTATGGCACTGGAGAGAAGAGAAGCATGAACCGCCACCGAGTGGACAGGAGATGCTGGCAGAAAAGGGAGGGGGTAAATTTCTCCAGTTCTTAACAGTAACTAAGTGTTACGAGATGCAGAGCGCAAACCGGGAGGATTAAGTCCTGCCGGAGGAAATTTTCCACAGGACTAAGGGCCACGAGGAAGGAGAAAAGGCGCAGGGCGTTTTTTTTTTCCGAAATTTAATTAATTATCTATGTTTTCTACAAATAGTTTCTGAGAAGCAAACTATGTACCTAGGTTGTAGTGTGGCCCCAGGGAGCACAGACCCGTATCACGCCTATTGGGTGTAGGGCATAAGCCTGATACGTAATGTATTCAATTCAATTCAATTTCCAACTTATATACACTTTAAGTTTGTGTTACCTTCACAAAGTGCACCAATACTGTTATATCCAGTGCGGATACCGTCCACTTCATTGCTACTGGCAGGAGATAATCTTTCCCCTGCTTTCCCCTCTCTCCCTTATCGTGGCCTCGACTTCAAGCGTCAGTCGAAACTGCTCTAGCCATCCTTCCTGCTGGATCCATTTTGTTATCCTTGCTATATCTTTTGGACTGTTCATCATGGCCTCAAATGACCGGTTCTCTGCCTTTCTTAGTATTTCTCCTCTTCCTTTGGCCCAGCTGGTGCAGGCCATGATCATATGCTTCACATTCTGGGACGGATATCCACATTGGCATCGTGGGTTATCTACTCCTGGAACTTTTCTTCTGTGCAGATAAGAATTGAACCCAATGTGTTCGCTTCTTATCTGCATGGCTATGCTGCTCTGGGCCCTGCTCAGGTGCATAGAAATCAATTCACGTATTATTAGTCTCAAGCTCTACTCACATTACATTGTTGATTAGTCGGAGCCACGAGACACCTGCGTGAAATCATTGTGATCATAAACTGATCGACCAGAAGCCACAATATTGCTAGCTTTATCTGAATAGTGTTAAATATACTTGTCTAAACAAGAGATAGAGCGAAGATTATCAACACAACCCTCTGTTGAACGAAGACTTAATGAGGAAATTGATAATTATTGTGTTTCATAAGATTAGGAAAGTATAGACTGGGCATTGGATTGATATGGGTTTTAGGCTTGATAGACTGAAGCCTTTGCACCTCCGTACTTTTTGTGAATCAAAGATTAAAACCAAATTTTTTGACTCTATATATTAGCTAGAATTGGTATGCTTCTCTGCCGGTAGTAATTTTTAACCTCCAACCTTGTTACTAAGTTCTGATGTAGTTGAATTTCCTCCAGAGTTAGAGTACAGAATATAAAAAAACCTTGAAGACTGATACAATAAATTTCTTTTACGACTTATGTGCCGAACTGGAGAAAGCCCGACTAACGGTTATATTCGGGATTACATAAAGTCCTCGACAAGATCAGAAGCCCATGCCTTAATTGCATCATAGTTACATTGGAGATATTCGATGCACTTGTGAGGTTACTGAGAGGTTAGCCAAATCAATGATAAACTCTTTTCCTGTTATTGTTCTTGTAATTTATTGTTATCAAATCTACCATCTTAGTTTACCTGTAATAATTTATTCGTCCCAGACGTAAATCGGATCCTGGGTCCTCGAAAGATATAGCCGGCGGAATTTGAGATTGTGTGACGACTGTCAGATCTAGCATAATCTACAAAGTCAGTCACTTTCCGTTAGTTCCTAGTTGAGAAGCATTGTATCTTATCGCTGGTACGATTTGCAAATCTCAGATATCACTAAATACAGGTGTAATTTTAGTTTTGTCAAAGTTTAAGAGCTAGGGGTATTTACTTTTTGACTCAATCTTGGTTTAGATTCAGACTTCATGCAAGCGTCTTTATTCATTTTATTCGTTTAGTTGTACGTAATTGGAGGGAAATAAACCGGTGTTGCCCTTGAGAGTGCCTTGCCACCAATCTTCATCCGGAAATTCCTATACTTGGTTAGCAGAAAGACCGTACCTAAAATGCCATGCATTTATTTTCGTTAGGGTGACAAACTAGATTTGTTATGATATCATCCTCTTCAAAGCTTAATTCATTGTCCTCGCCAGCTTCGTAGGCATAGAGTGCTGTAGCTGTTGGACCAGATGATACAGGCAGTGTCGACTTAGACGTCGGGATTGTTTCATCAACGTTTTGCGCCTCTCTTTCCATGAGCTCAACGTAGTTGCTAGGAAAAAGTCCATTTTCTCCCTTTGAGTTTGTACCCATCCACCAGTCATCGTCAACCATATCAATGTTAGTAACATACTCACCTTCAACAAGCTCTAATTCATTCTCCTCGGCTTTCTCGTAATCATAATGGATATATGCTATCATCCCGGTAATTGAAGGTGGAACGTTTGACGGAGTGTCAACTGGTTCGATAGAGTTATTTCCGATGGAAGGCCTAGACTCATCCAAAATTTCCTTTACTGGGTTACCCCTGTCACCGATCTCAAGGTCAGCCATATTTGGTGCTGATGATGGGTAAGGTTTTTCGAATGATTTCAGGTCAGCCTCTACAACCCTGGCTTTTGGCAAGGCAATTCTGATAGGAGATGTTTCTTTCTCTAAATTTTCGGGCGTTGGAGTACGCAATTGGGGTGGGGGCGAAGGTATTGTAATAATGGGGCGGTTAGAGATATTGATTGGTGGTAGATTAGATTCATTACTCAGCGTATTTTCTTGAATCTCTGATGCTTGGTGAGATGTCAAACTTTTGATACGATCCCGTAACGTCCCAACACTACTTGTTGAAGGTACAAAGCTTTCATCTTTTCGCCCATCATCCCCAGTGGACTGATGGCCAAGACTGCTTGCGCTAGATTTTCCAGTAGGATCTATTGAGACCGGAGCCCATGATTTTCCTGTATAGCCACTCTTCCATTCGCCACCTCTATTACTTTGATTTCCGGACGGAGATGCTTGACTGGACAGAGGATTACCAGCTCCACTGAATTTAGTCTCACGATCCTTTTTTTCTTGCCACACCTGAGCTGGAGTTTTACCTCCTTCATCTGCAAATTTCTTGCTCGTAGACCCAACGGAAGGTTGTACTGTAGTAGCTGAAGCAGACTTGAACCCAAAAGCTGATGGGGTCGGGGCTTTGGTACCGCTGAAATTAGATGTGGAAGATCCAAATTTATTGGCAACTTTAGGTTTTGGCAGCGTCGTGAGCCTTTCGGAATTCAGGGATGCAGTAGGTCTGTTGGCCGTAAGGGCTGATCTCGACCCTACACCTGCACTACTCACTGTGGGCGGTTCTGACGCATGTGAAGAGATTGGATTATCTTCATGTATTGGCTTTTGTGCTCTAGACCTGATGGCTGCAATGTCAACTTTTCCAACAGGTTCGTAAGCTCCTTTGATGATGGTCGGACGGTCATCTGTTTTACTCTGGGCTTGTGCACGTATTGCACTGATATCTACTTTTCCAACTGGCTGATAACCCCCTTTAACAATGTTACTTTTTTCGTCGTTTTTTGTGTTAGAGCGGGCTGGTAATGTTGTTTGTTTCTGGGAGATCAGCTCGGCCATATTTACCTTAGTTGGTTTATAAGAACTAGCAACGTTCTGCATCTTTGACTGGGTTATTTGCGGAGCATCAGCACCCCAGCCATCATCGTCGGCGTTAATTTCATTCTGGCCAGGTCTTTCATGTAAATTTGCAAATTGTCTTGTTTCTGAACCTCGTAATGCTTGGGTTGGGTTAAATACAGACCTTGTCGATACAGATGGAGCAGAGGATGAGGGGACACTTCTTCCCGAATATTTCGCGCCAGACGCGTCAGAAACCTTCTGAATAATTTGTTCAGGAGAAATATCTCTATCAGAACGAGCGTTAATTTGAATATGATATCCCTAGGTAGTCAGCAGATATTCGAACCACCTCTGTAAGAATAGAACACCAACATGGCAGATCTTGGATACAGTGGCTAGATGGCTGGTAAAATACCCTTTAGTTCTCTCTGGAACACCCTCCCCACACTTTAATAAGTCAGCTCTAACGAATTACTACAGAAAACATTAAACTTACCCATCCAATTAGGACAAATTTTGGCAGTTTTGTGTTGGGATCTCTAACCCTAACGAATGCAAACTGGATCCTTCCTTCGGAAAATTCTTCAATCAGGTCAAGTATTTCCCCCTCTGACATTATTTAGTGTGCTGAAGCTCTGGTCTCTAGCGAGACAGAACTCGTACCTCCAGTAGTCTGTACTTTTAGGGTGCTTTCTTTCCCACCTCTATCTGGTTGGAAGGCGTTCACAAGGGGTGATGATACAGAGAATAATACCCAGTATCCATAAGTTGAAGAGTTTTCCACTGCACTAGAGGATGTTGAGCCATTTATTACACTTTGATAAGAAGACTTAATGGATGGACCGTTGGTTGAGGTGTTTAGAGACGCCATTTTAAGCCACTCGAAGTTCAGGTGTTTCGAAAGTAATCGTAAATTATCAATTTTTAAGAAGAGTGAAGTTGCGACCAGGAGCAATTTTTACTTATATCCCATCTACTTCCTGCTTTAGTTGAGCAAGCAGTTATTGTTGATAGTGTCCCGCTAAAATTTAATAAGCTAGTTTGGCACAAGGTAGTATTATCCTTGAACACCATGAATGACGCCACGGATAAGCCAATTCCAATTCACGTATTAGACCTTCAAACTAGGGGTTGTAGGCTCGAATATTGTCACTATTTTCTCCATTGTGCTTCTAATTCTTCCTGAAAATTTCCTTCGCCAGGCTTCCTCCCAAAACTTGTTAGCACTAACCCGTCACTATGTCATTGTAACGGGCAGATGTCGCTGTAGTTGTTGGATTTAAAAATAGCGTACTTCTCCTACCGAAATAAACCAGCCAGTCCTCACACCTGAAGTTTAAGAAAGGTCTGCAAATAATTCCAGTACGTGTCATAAATCTCTACTGCCTGAAGCTCATCATAGCGCCGCTTTTCGTTACTTCTCTACAAATTTTAATTCATGTAAACTGTAACAATATTCAAGGTACTCAGTTCTTCGAAACATCTAATTTTTTTTGAACAATATAGCCACTATTCAACCAAAAAGCTACGGCAGGTTTCTTCTGTTAAACATTCCACGGCAAGACTTCCGGAGCTTAAATTGCAATAATGGATTCATCTAAATCCCTAGACTGCAATCTGTCACAAGTAGACAATCTGGAGGAAACCAAGATCCAGTGTCACATCACACCCAGTTGTCTGCCAAAGAGAGATAGCCCTTCGGAGGACTGCACCAAAAAACGCAAGTTTGAAATAAGGGATAATTCCGAATGCCCCTCTCAAGAACAAGGAGTAAAAGAGAAAAAACAATGCGTAGACTCCAAACCAGCTATCTATAAATACGAGGCATTACACAATGATAAATCTTTAATACCAGCCGAGATATGGCATTATATCTTCACACAATGTACAATCAAAGATTTGGGTGCACTACTCAAGGTCAATCAGTTGTTCAACTCTTATCTAGATGCCAACTCAGTATTCAAAAGAACTGTATACAGACAATCTCAGTCTTTTCTCAAAATATTAGAGCCCGACATAATCTGGAAGGCGTCGCGAAAGGTCACCAACTCGCCATGCCTTCCAACACCACCCGAAGATAAGACAGAGCTGGATATGTATAGGCTTGCTTATGGGTCTTTGTGTCAAGAATGCGGGAAGCAAGGAAAAATACAAGTGGTAGATGCTAATGATCCATGGCATCCTGGCCCAGGTGAAAATGGGGTTGTTCCGATTTGGTCATTTGGAGTTCGTCTCTGCGGGAAATGTCTGGAAACAAGCACATCTAAGGTAAATGTAGTTAAGAGGTAAGGCCATGAAAAATTGCTGACAACTTAACCAGGAAAGTGAAATGTTACTCTATTCAGAATTACGATCTACATTATTAACCGCCCTACCCTCCATTTTCCTATCAAATGAGCTACACATTGTTCCATCAGTAACGCTTAAAAATAAGCTGCAATGTAACAAAATTCACATTTCAAAACGATTTTCCAGGGCCCAAATCCAAGAAATTAAGAAAGAGTATGAAGAGGTTAGTGCGATGGGTGGAGCTACTGTAGAAGAATGGTTAAAAGGTTTAGATAGCCGCGGAAAAAGACGGCGGAACGATGCCCTTAGATGGGAAAGATGGCAGCAAAGTGGTGGTCTGGACCGCCTTAAACCCCATTGCACCGCCGGAAAGGCTAATTCTAGCAATATTTTCAGTCATTCCAAGACCCAAGAAAAAACAAAGGGAGATCTATTAGATAAATGTATAAGTGGTCCTCTAGGACTCTCTTCCGACAATAGAGATTTCAAATTAGTGGAGGAAATTAAATCTACTGACTGTAGGTTGGTTCTTAATTATTTAATTTATATTTTACACTTTGCTCATAGTTATTAGCAAACAGCCCAACAATCTTAGAACCAATCCAAAATGGATATAGCCACTTTACTTGGCCACAGCCCCAACCAAAGCATGACAGAACTAAGATAGAAATTGCTGAGATGAAGGCGGCCCGAAAAGCAGAAATAGAGAGAAGGTGTCTGACACTTAATCCGCCATTACCCGCTGAAGAACTTTTTTCAATGGCCTCATTTCAAGCTGCCATTCAGATAATTCAACCTTTCACTGATAACGCTTGGGAACTACTTAAACCTCGCTTGGTTTCTCAAAGGGAAGAAACTAAACATAGAGAACGAGAAACCTTTCTAGTTGAGCAAAAAACCATGACTCAGCCGTCCAAGAAGGAAGGCAAAAATCCAACAGGCCGAGTTAAAGAAGACTCTCCAACTCCACTCCTCACCAAGATTGGGGGCTTCGCCGACGACTTCATTAGAGATGAATGGAATGGGGGTGAAAGAGTATGGTTTGAGAATAGTCCTCTATTTGCTGCAAGAGTTTTGATACATGTCCGCAAACGTTTCTACACTGGTAAAACGGAAAAGGATGTCCATCCACACACTACACGTCAGATATCAGCAGGCTTGCCTCCCAATAAAAAATTAAGCTTGGAAAATATGAAATGGGTTTTTGATACTAAGGTTAAACCAATAACCGACAAATTTCGAAAGACCCTTTTCCTATGTAATGCCTGCGATCTAGCCACCAGATATTACGGGTTTGAAGCGGTTATCCAGCATTACGCAGCGAAACACACCACTCAACTCAGTTTGGGCAAACTAGTTGTTTGTTGGAAATCTGAGTGGCCCGAAGAATCACCATTTAAACCTAATCCTTCCTCTACGCCTCTCCATCCTATATACAATTTTGGTCCTTCAGCATCTACTGATCCCATACTTACTCGTGGGCATTCATCTGTTCCCGACTTTTCTCTTCTGGGCTCTTCAATTAAAAATTGCGCTAAAGAGACACATGGTGCATCTAATTCGATTTTACAACATAGGGATTCAGAAAAAAAATGTCGTAGTTCTCGAACTGGCATTACTGAACAAACCCAATATGGTACACAGGGAGTTACCTCATCAATTCGTTCAGATCATTGTTCAGAATCATCAACTCATCAAAGCTCTATCCCACCTACAATTTGTAAAAGGCAGGAAAATGTTGAAGACACGCCTTTTTCAACTAATCAACATGTTATTACTTTGCAGGAAGATAATGAATACAACAAGCAGCTCCAAAACTTCGCAGGTCATATTAGAGACATATGGGCATCTATAGGCAGCTTAAAAAAAATTCCTGGTACATTCAAGGCTTACACTCTGGTCTTTCATATTATCAAAAGGTTCAAGGATTGTTTTAAACAAAATCCACCGCTTATATTGTTAAAGGATGTTCTTCATCAAAAAGATATGCATCCAGTCAGGAATATTCACGGACTTCTATGTGAAGCTTGTTCCTCAGCTGCTATGCGAAAAACTGAAACGTCTAATCCTGAAAAAAACATGTTCTCTTTTTTTCAACTCGTAAAACATTTTCATTTGGTCCACGAGCAGAACGACTCTTTCAATCAGGCCAATCTCACCATAGATTGGACTCATGAAATGGTCAAACTCTCTGAGCTGGGCAAGATTTGTTCTATTATTGAATCACCTGGAATCGACAAGAATCGGCTTTCACTATTTGTGGAAGCAATACCTCAGCTTACTGCAAAGATGAAGTCAATTACCGAAAACGAAAAAAGAACTAATACCGATTCCGTGAATATTGTCACAAAAAATAATACACAGTCAATTTCCATTCAGGATGCCAGCCATGAGAGCTCAGTCACTTCTGTCAAAAAAAATTTAACAGGAACCAATAGTGCTGCAAATAATAATGGGGAAACTAATCTTTCAAACCCTATAGAAGCCAACCGCCGACCTGGGAAATCAGACATAAAATCTCAGCATCCTCCTCAACAAATTGAGGAATATCATAAAGCTTTATATTCAAAATCTTGTAATTTTCCTATGGATAAAAAGACTGCCATATCACATAAACCTAGCAAACGTGATCTGAACCACAGGGATGAAATAGCTACATTAAATATTCAAAAAAATATGTTGAATTATACTCGGGAAGGTGGCAAGTATTTTAATCAGCAAGAACCTAAGGCGAACCAAACTGGCTCCCGCAGTCTCGACCCTAGCCGGGAAATTAAGGAGCCAAATCCCCCTATCTTTATGACAGCTAAAGATGGTCGCAATAAGATGAAAAACGTTATAACCATAACTGACACGGCCGATAGAAGAAATGATCGAACTTTAAATGTAGTTGTACAGGTTTCTCAGCAACAGCAACCAAGTCAAGGACGAAGACTCGATGCTAGGGGAGAACTTTCCTATCCCGAATTTTCCACACAAAATAGAACTCAGAATATTAGAGGAGACAGGCTTCAAAAATATGAGTCTCGCACTTCTGACTTGGATGATAACTCTTTGTATTACTCAAGAATCGATCATGATGTTGGATATTCAACAAGCTTACCGGGTCCCCTCCATAAGCGATTCGACTATTATTCTCGATCACGGCATAATGAAGAAATCACACGGTCTAGAAATAACTATAGCCTTCCAGAGCCAAGCTGTCGCGACACGGGTGATATTGATGATGATTGTATTTATTTGGGGAGTAAAAGAATTGTAGATACTCTACCTAACAATATAACTGCTGTCGGACTTGGCCCTCTAGATCGAGATCTAACTCAAGGTAGACGACCATATGAACTCAAAAACATACCAATACCACATGACCACTCCATAAATCTTCAAAATTCTAGATATTCTTTAGAAAATAAAAATTTTCGTGAAGGCACGCATGATACTAGGGATAAGAATACTCACTCGAGTAATCCGTCAACTAACAATAGAAGGATTGAGAAAATTCGTCGCTCAAGATCTCCACCATACATAAGGACAGACCAACCACCGGGGTATCAACAAGACGCATCTGCCATGTATAGGGAAATATCTCGGCCTTCTATAGGGCGTGTCGTTTACGAGCGATCGCCATCGGAACAATACTATAACAGGCTTTATTCTGATGAGCCATCCTACATGCGCGAGCCTTGGCTTTCAGAGGAATATGAGCTAGTAAGAATCTCTGACCCATATAGAGACTATTCGATTCGTCGGCCTTCTCGTCATCGCATGCACGCTGTATCCGAAAGTGAACCATTGTTACAGCCTCCTTTCTATGAAACATGTATATCTGGACCTGAAGTAGAACGCAGGTTCAAACAAGAAAATGAGCTGCAAGACTCTGAACCTCCGCATGTCTATTCTCATCGGCGAGCTAGAAATGGGATATAAGAACTAGCTGGGTGCCATACATGAAAAGGGTTGTAGTGATTATTATGTGAATAGTAAACTAATAAGGTTATGGAGAGTATCCAAATAGTACTCTATGTGTTAGTAGTCTAACAACAATGTCTTCACAAATTTTTTTGTGCTCAAGCCAAATTCTACTATATCTGCTCTCATATTTTAGAACTCCATTTTAATTACATACTGACTAACTAAACCTATATTTTTAGGAGAGTCGCAGTAGGCATTCTTGTATTTCTCAATATCATTGTATAGGGCCGTACCTCAGCTTTGTTCACATTTTACTGTTGACTTACAAATGGTGTTCAGAATAGCGATCATCTTTTTGGGCTCTATAGAATTAGAACATTTTGGGTTACAGGTTTCATGACGTAATTATTCTTTCCATAAAATCTTATTCCGAAATAAGGAACTCCGTCCGATTTGTTATTTTAGTAACATGTAGTGGTCTATAGGTCTTTGTGTCTAGTGGCATAAGAATGACACACAGTGCAAATTATACATCTATGAATAAGTTTTTTAAAAATTTAATCACCCTGAGAACCTAGGGTTTTGCATCGATGGATTTCACAGATATAAATGAATGACAATTATGGATTAGACCATTTTTTTATTGAACCGGGAAAGGTGGGCAGTCATTTTGTGGCTTGTAAGACTTGATAGTAATAACAGCTTGTAGTTATAATAATACACCTAACACAGGTAAATGGATAGTAAGTCGGCTGCGAGCTATGTATAGCAGCTTATCCACATGTGCCTCAAGCTAATGAATGTATTCATTAACGAATGATAATTGAAGCAACAGCCTATCACATCGGATCTATAACGCTTTCTAATTATAATCAGGGTTATCCCTTTTATGATAATTCTTGAATCTCTAAGCCATCTGTTACTCGTACTACTTTGACAGCTACGACTTTTACCTGGTATTCATTTCATCTCAACGACTCTAAGATACCATGAGGCTCGGATATTTTCTCTCTTACGCTCTCTTCCTTCCATCCACCGTTGCTTTTACGGGGCTCTATCCAAATTTCCTCCAACCGAAACCAAGTCATGTGGAAGATCATACCATTGACACAAAATACTTTCATGAACCTGGCGGTAGCAATGAACTTGAACACTATGATATCCGATTTTTCATAAGTCCTCTATCTAGCCATGAGAGACTAAGAGCTCTGAAGCATCTGATTCAATCGTACCTTACGGTATTCAATGACCGAAAGATTGAGACGTGGATTGCCCATGGGACCCTTTTAGGCTGGTGGTGGAATGGGAAGATAATGCCCTGGGACTGGGATCTAGACACTCAAGTCACTGTAACAACGCTAAATTGGCTCGCTGAAAATTTAAACATGTCTACTCACCGTCACTACATGATTGATGATGAGGGAAACTCTATGGGTGGGAACTTTCTACTAGATGTTAATCCTAATCATATTGATCGCTTGCGAGGTAGCGGTAATAATGTAATTGATGCGCGTTGGATTGACGTTCATAGTGGTCTTTACATCGATATTACAGGAGTCGGCGATACAGAGGATGATTTAGATTCGGGTCTACTGGGCTGTAAGGATTTTCATCGTTACCACAGCCATGAATTATACCCGTTGCGTACATCTATTTTCGAAGGTGTTATTGCTAAGGTTCCATTTATGTTTGAAAGCATACTGATAAAGGAATATTCGGCGAAAGCACTATCAAACACTGTATATGCAGGGTACGTTAGAACCATATTTATCTCACCATGCTCAACCTTCCCATTCTTTACGATGAAGCAAAAAATGTACTAAATTTGGTTCTTGAACAGTCATCGTTGGGATCCAGAGAAGCAGGCCTGGATCAAACAAAGAGCCAAGACGGAAGAGATCACTTCTAATTCCACTGAACAAGCGTAGGTTAGAGTTGAGATTACTGCTACCATGTGGCATAAACGACGGAAAAGAGTGAGCTTTCTTTAAAAATAATTTAATGCGCGATCATCAACCTCATGTTGCGGCAGACGACAGATGATATATTGTGTGTTATGATTCAGATACTGGCCCATCAATTAATTTATAAATTTGCCAACTCCAGCATGTATATTTTACATATATTAGTTGCGCGGCCTTTCATAATTTTTTCATGTTAATTTAAGTGTATCATCTGTTCCCCTAGAAGTTTGGCACTTTGGAGGCAGTACTGGATCTGATATAATAACGTGACTATCGGAGATGTTCACTTCAGTGATCGGGACGCCTTTGGGACCACATATATATTGAGTCGTGAGAATCTAGGCCAAAACATGTCCGACTCTTTCGTACTACCATTATCTTGGATAATATCTGCCTTTCCTGTCTCTAGCAATTTCAAAACCTATGATCATATACCACTGTTAGGTTTATTTAATTGATGGGTGTGATCACCAAGGAGTTTTTATCCTCAGACTCCGCCATGTTAGGTTGTGATCCAGGATTAAGTGAGATGATTATGTATATAAAGGTTGTAGCTCCTACCTTTCCAGAAACTACACTTCGGGGAGGTTTGCAGAGCGCGTGGTGTATAGATGATTAACGTGCGATTGCTAGGACGGCTTAGGATTACATAGGCTTCGCATGATTTTAGGAGTGAATTATTCTCGGATTTTGCGCAAGCTAGACTCTAATAAACTACATATATCCGGAAAATTCTGCCATAACTTATAAAGTCTTTTTTATGGCTTAGCCCTAGCGCACTCTCAGCTTTCGTATTTGCATTTAACGAGAGACAGCCCTGATGATTTTCTAATGCTGTTACTTGGATTTTGATCGTTGACATAGGCGTGATGACAAACGTCATTTATTTAAATCCCAAAGCTGTAGCAAGATCGAGTTCATACTGTTGATGGCGAGGGGTGATTACTGGCACTTGGGCAAAAGCTTGTATGTTTGATTAGTACGTATCTACGTGACGTTAGTGAACCATATATTAGCGAGAGCCATATTGGTTAGAGCCCCCATATTAATGCTACTGCGTGCAAGTGTTTCATGTTGAAAGGCAGGAGCTGCGTGGTTGGGTGAAATTACAAGGCTAATCAGCTGACGTCCTTGATTGATATGTACGGGTTTCTGAATTCTCTCAACCAGCGCAATTTTTGAGTTACCTTGGGCTCTACGTGAGGTAATGGTAGCTCCTCAGCACAGCAAGTTGCAGCATGAATTGGCTCTGGAATATCCGGGTATAGAAGTATCTACTCCACTTTCAAATAGCTTCTGTGCAGCATGTCACAGGGATGGAGCGCATCATGTATTTGCCAGCCATCTCCCTGGGCCATTGAGGCCTGAAATAATCAGTATGTGTAAGAATTCACAGCAGAATTATGCGAAGGCCACGTGACTATATAGAACTGAGCCAGATCGAGAAGGCAATTAATCATCAAAAGAACTCACTATGTTATTCTTCTATACTACTACGAGAGTCTGATTTAATAGCTCTCTCTGTGATCCCTTGTCACCCCCAACTAGTGCATGAGGCTATTCTAGTACCTTCTTCAATGCCCCCCATATGCGCAATCAGTAAGTTCAATATCCCTGTTATAGATCTGCATCTTGCCTATGAACTGCACCCCCGTATAATAAACTTACGTCTGCTTACACGCCCTCTCAGTTCAAAGGCGAGATTTCATCTTTCATGCCTAAATGGTCAATGAACTGTTTAAAGGATTCGGCGACGAGCGGTTTGGTGAAACCATCAGCAGGATTTTCCTTCGATGCCACCTGGCAAATTTTTATGTTGCCTGCTCTTACCTCCTGTACAACATAATGATATTCAACGCGCACATGACGACGACCAGATGTCATAGCATCATCTGTGGCCCACTTGATTGCACCGGTGTTATCTTCTAAGATCGGTATAGGACCGGAAGGCATGTGGTCCAGCTCCGTGAGGAACGATCGAATCCATGAGCAGTCCTTTGCAGCCTCAAAAATCGCTGCATATTCTGACTCGCACGTCAATGTGGATACTGTTGATTGTAACTTAGATCTCCAAATGACCGGGCATCCCGCCATAAAGATGACAAATCCTGTTGTTGATTTTGCAGAATCAAAATCATCGGCAAAGCTCGAGTCCACAGCACAATGTAAGCCATATTTTCCGAATCTTTGGACATGTCGATGACTCTTTTCATATAGTAAACCCCTATCAGGATATGCTGAAATAAACTGGGGAATTCTTGAGGCATGTTTAATATGTTGAGAGGGATTACACATAAATCTAGCCATCTGCGACGTTGCTTGAATTGAAATTAGTTCCGGAGATTGGAAGAATTACACACTAGCCTCGAGTTTGATTAAGAGATACGATAAATGTGTTTACTATACGAAGAAGTTTACTGATGTTTAATGGATAGTTAATTGTGATTAAATTGCTATAATTCTATATGTGTGGCGAGAAGTCCCTCTATATACATGAAAGCGGGGTTTTCCGCACACTAGTGTGAACTCCAACATACTTCCTAATCTAACCTAAACGGGAAGTTTGTTGGAGATCCTGAAGCCAATGTATGCTGTCAGGCATCTATTGGCTAATTACTATTCATGCCAGTGAGTGATGATATGGGTTAATCATATCTCATGGCGCCAGTGCATATTATTCTAATATGTACTATTTGTCTACTGCAGTCATGTTGCTGCCTTAATTACAACAGCTTGTGCAGTGTCACATCTTACCATGCAAGAGGAAAAATTGTATTTACCAATGAGTCGCTGATAGTTGTACAGCTCAGCAGCAGTTGACTTTCCGGCGTACTTTCTCAAGTCTGGTTTGTAACTTGGTGTCATAGGTGTCTCAGGATGTTTCTTCTCAAGTACCAAATCCATCTCGTCGAAAGATCTTTTTAGGTACTGTTCTTGGTCTAGCATGATAGAACCCGTTGGTGAGGGTCTACGAATCCTAATGCCAAGGAACCAGCTGGCTTCTCCCAAATCGTTCAGAGGAACTTCCTTGTTCAAAGCACGGGTTAATTCTTGAAGATCACTCTCATTGGGTCCTATTAACAAAAAATCATCAACATAGGATGCGACAATTATGTTTCTGGCTCGATTTTGATAAATCGCATTGTCAGAGACTAGGTGGTTAAATCCATATTTCTTCATCACTGATCTGATTTTCATCTGCCAACAATTCACGGACTGCTTTAAACCATATAGGGGTTTGTCTAACTTGATTATGCTATCCTCGCTATAACCAAGTCTCTCTGCAAGCTCCTTATTTTCTTCGAAGAATTCTTTGAGCCGTGGAAACTGCTTCATGTAAATATTCTCTTTAAGTTCCCCTGCGAGGTATGCCGAAATAAAATCAGCTTGCAGAGTATACCAGCCGATCAATGCTGCAAGCGCCATGAGGGTTCTCCAACTTGCTGACCTCGCAGCTGTGGAAGATGTCTCGTTGAAATCAACACCTTGGGTTTGAGTGAAGCCTCTTGCCACGATTCTGGCTTTATGCTTATCAAATTCCATATTTGACTTACACTTTTTCTTCAACACCCATTTAGATGTAACCAACTTCCTATGGTCAGGAAGGGCGCGCACAAACTTGAAAGTGCCACGAGTAGACATCCTTGGATTTCTACATTTACAGCTTTCACCCAATTCTCTTTTTCTGGTCCGTTCATTGCCTGGTTGAATGTCGGTTCATCAGCTGTAGCTGAGAAAATATAACTTAGAGAGTTCTGATTACAGCATAGTAACCGAAACAGCTCTTCGCCATCATCATGTTGACTAAATTGATCTCGATCAATCGCTTTTCGTACAGCGCTCAGAGCAGAGATATCGAAACTATCATCAAGTTCACCTGGTAGTGTTCCGAAGTGACGTCCAGTAATTGCATCACAAAGGTCTTCAACCTTTATTTCTTCAGATACTTTACTTTGATTTGCTTCAGGCGACAAATGTAGTAATTCATTGTCCACCTCAAATGGAGCCTTCAGTACCTGCAGGGCATGATCATCATGGCGCTGAATTATTCTTTTTGGACGCCCTCGCCCTCTTGGTGCAACCATTGGTAGGTCTTCGCTATCCGGAGCATTTTAATCATGATTCCTTGCATAGTCCATCTTTCGTGATCTTAATCTATCCTGTACGTGTCTTGGCAGAGATCTGATTATTTCTCTAGGATCAACACCCCAACCAAGCTCCGAACTTATGTTCTCGTATGCGATGACATGCGGAGATATGAGAAAACGTCCCCCGTCCAAAAGCCAGACCAACTTGTTCTTGGTACCTCGATAGCCAAAAAACACGCTCCTTGTTCCATTGGCGTCAAGCTTCTCACCTGTTATTCTGTGACTGGCGTCCACATGGGTGATACACAGTGTTCCAGGTATCCACAGATGATCAATTTTAGGAGTCGATTTGTCAGGGTCAAATTGTGACCAATACACTTGCCATGGTGTTCTGTGACCGTCAACGGAGCTTTGAGATGTAAGGTTTAACGTGTAACAGGTCATTTCGAGTATATAGTTCCAGAAAACAGATGGTACCTTCATCTGTATTGCGCAGCAGCGTGCTGCATCTTGTACAAATCTGATTCCTCGCTCTGATACTCCATTCTAGTACTGATTATCTGGAGCCGATATAACCACATTTATCTCCTGCTGACTAGCGAACTCCTGGAAGGTGTTGAGCCCCCAATCCCTTCCACCATCAATTATGACCTGCTTCACCCTTAAATCAGAGAGCATTCTTAGATCAGAGTTAGCCTGAGATAGGATACGCTTGAGCTCCTCAGCAGCCTCGCTTTTCTTCTTTAAGGCGCGAAAGAATCGGAAACGAGAAACATCCTCTGTAGTTAAGCAGAAATATCCGTGACCCTCAATTGAAAATGAATTTAACGTGCCAACATCACAGTGCCACCCCTCTCCAACATTCTTCATTCTAGG